TGGTCTAGATCGGTTCTAATCCAGAATCATAAATTGAAAATTAGAACCAATTTGTGAACCATGGTTCCTCAATTTTCTAATTTAGAACCAAACTACGGATTCAAAACACCAAACCAAACATATGAAATTAGACTGGACTGATTCGATTTGCGAGTTATACAGATTCCTTATTCAGTTCTATTTCTATCCACTCATAATAACTCACTCTCTAGTTTTTATAAATTCAACCTCAAATCTATTGATTTGAAATTCACATCTATCTTAATGGAATCCAATCAGCATGCTTGGTTAGAGTTTTCCAAAAACTTTTTTCAGAAAATTCTACTTTCTTGTTTTCCGTATTTTTTTGTTTTTACTGAGTTTTTTTACTTTTTAGACATACCTAACATAAATATATCTAAAAAGTAAAAAATTTGTGAAAGAAACCTTTTAAAAATTCACTAAATACCAAAAATACAAAAAAAAATACAAGAATTCTGTACATGTTTTGTATTTTTATGTATTTATTAATTTTTTAAAATATTTTTCACATTTTTTTTACTTTTTAGATACATCTAAGTAAGGTGCATCTAAAAAAAATAAAAAAAAAATGTTTAAAATTTTAAAAATATTCACTAAAAACAAAAAAATGCGAAAATCAAAAAATTCAATTTTCAAAAAACTTAATCCAAAAAACACAAACCAAACACACTGAATATTATTAGAACAATTTACTTAAAGTCAATTCCATGAAACAATATATATAAGAAAAATATTATTATGGTCATATTTTTTATTATTTGTTGACTTTCTTAGGTGACATATTCACACTTGTTTAATGTAAATGACATTTGTGTGGAACTAAAATATTCACTAAAAACAAAAAAAATGCGAAAATTAAAAAATTCAATTTTTAAAAAAACTTAATCCAAAAAACACAAACCAAATACACTGAATATTATTAGAACAATTTACTTAAAGTCAATTCCATGAAACAATATATATAAGAAAAATATTATTATGGTCATATTTTTTATTATTTGTTGACTTTCTTAGGTGACATATTCACACTTGTTTAATGTAAATGACATTTGTGTGGAACTAGCATTATTGCATAAATGATAATGGTAGGATGGTCACTTTTTATTAGATTTAGCTATATTAGAACATCTTTGATGATTGAATAGATAAAGAATTAACTATTATTATAATATCGCAATGAATAATGTTTAAACACTTTATTTTTGTAATGTTGTTCCAATAGTATAAAGCAAGTTTTTTTATTTTTATTTTATTTTATTTTTCACAAAATGCCAAATAAAATTAATTTGTTGGGTCAAATTATTTCTATCTTCTATAAATTTGTTGAGAAAGTTAATTATATAAGCTCTTATTAAAGAAATTATTCAATATTCCTAGAACAAGTTCAAGTGGTATTCCAAAATAAGAGTTATTGTTTTAAACTATATTACTTATTACTTTTATGTTAAAATTTCAAAAAACAAAATAATAGGTGTGGTATGTAAATAGAATAGAATATTATATTTTATCCTTCTATTCTCATATGTGTTTGGAAAGTTTGTGTGTTGGGTTTTTTTTGATTTTTTTCGCTAAAAGACAAACTTTTTGCAAAATAAAAAAAAAAAAATCCAAACAAAATATCACATCCAACCTCATAATCATTTCACTTTTTCTCTCACAAACATCACATCCAACCACAAAAAAATCCAACTATTTTTCCAAACACCAAATTTTTTTTCTCCAATAATATCCTACAACTAAAAAAACCTACATAAAAACCCACTTCCCAAACACCCACATAAATGGGTTTTATGCAGCAAATGCACTACACGTTTTTATTTTACGGTGACTCTAGATACACTAAAAATTTTGGTTAAACCCCAATTCTTAAGGCAATCTAAGCCTAAATTTAATTTAATTTTTTATTTTTGGGCAAACTACATATACCCCCTTGAGGTTTGGATAAATTATAGATACCCCCTGAGGTTTCAAAAATTACATCCTGCCCCCTGACAATTAACTCTGTTAACTCAGACAATAAATTGACTAAAATGCCATCATGTCAAGTCAGTACTTGCATTTTATATAGGTTCAACTAAACTTCACTTTCTCCATTTCTTTATCTAAGAGAGAGACGGAAAAGGCCTTGCAAAGGGGAAAGTGAGGGTATTTTTGTTTATTGTTGGATGCATAGATCTAAAAGAAGAAGAGACTACACAAAGAAGTTTAGATCGTTGATTGAAGAAAACTCTGAAATTTGTAAGTGATCCATTTTTACTCTCATACTAAGCATTGAAATTTGAGGGTTTAGGATTCTTTGTTCATGATTTTTTTTTTTTATAAAATTTGTTTTAGGATTATTTGCTTATGAAATTTTGTGAGTCTTTAATCGATTTTTTTGGGTTTGTATTTTACCTTGTTAAAAAAAAAATTAGGGTTTAAAGGTTTGTTTTCAATCTATTTTAGGGTTTTTTTTTTGGGTTTCTTTCTACCTTTTTTTTTTTAATTAAAATTTTGGGGTTATAAGGTTTGTTTTCAATTAGTATTTTAGGGAATTTTTTTTTTATATTTGTTTTCTACTCTTACTTTTACTAAAATTTTGGGTCTATTTCAATTAGTATTTTTGGGAATTTATTTGGTTTGTTTTCTACTCTTTCTTTTTCTAAAATTTCGATTTAGGTGGTTTTTTTGGGTTTATTTTCTACTCTTTTATTTACTAAAATTTTGATGTTGTAATGTAAGCTTGTTATGTAGATGCCTTCTGATATTCATGAATTTTGTGATGATTTTTTTGTATTTAGGACAATAGTTGATCCCATGTTTCATGACATACTAGTACACTTTAATGGTTCTGTACGTTACATTTTGAATGTTAATCCTTACAAGTATAACTACATGCAATTGTTGGCTGATGCTTGTGAAGCTGCACTCACTAATGTACCTGGGAATTTTGGTGTGGGATTAAATTTGTACTTTACAAACACACACACTAAGAGTAAGATGGAGGTTAAATCTGATCAGGATGTCATTGAAATGTTTAGTTCAAATTATGGTACTAAGGTGATTAATATTTTTCTGGAACTTGATCGACTTTTACCTTCATTTGTCATAACTGATACTCCTACTTGTGGAGAGGGACACGTGAGTAGTAGTGGCACAAGTACAAGAGGTGGCGTGGTTAGTAACATTGGAAATAGATTGGTAGTATTTGATGATTTATTTAGCAATGTGGATGACTACAATGATGTTGATTGGACTGAGTTAGGGGATTTTGAATTTAGTGAAGCAGATGCTGATGAAGAAAATGCTTATATCATTAGTGATGAGGATAATGAGGACACTTCAGATAATGATGAGAGTAGTAATGGGTCAGATAAACCAATTGAGGCTAATGATGAGGGGATATCTGACTATGAATCTGATGATATAGGAGGGAAATATTCGACTGATGAAGAAGATGTCCAAGGTGTTAATGTTGACAGATATATGAGGGGGAAAATGTTTGAAATAAAGGAAGGGGAGAAAATAACATTGGAGAAGGGAATGATATTTGATGATGTGTATCACTTCAGGACTGTGCTCCAGGAATTTGCAATTGAAAGAGGTGTTAAATTGATTAAAATAAAAAATGACAAGAAAAGAGTGACTTGCATATGTGCTTTCTCGATGTGTGAATGGAGAATTCATGCTTCTCCATTACCTGATGGGGTGACATATAAGATTAAGACATTGGGCCCCGACCATACATGCGTTAGAGTAGAAAGGAATACTGAAGCAACACCATCTTGGATTGCTAAGAAGTTTAAAAAAACTCTTAGAGGGAATCCTGGGATCACTTTAGAGGCAATGCATGATGAAATAGTAGAAAATTATGGATTGAAGACTACAAAGATGCAACTGTACAGAGGAAAGAGGAAAGCCATGGAGCTAATTGAGGGTAATCATGCAAAGGCTTACACCAAACTTCCAATGTATGCTGCAGAAGTGTTGAGGACCAATCCTGGTAGTTTGGTCAAAATTGAAAGGGAAAGAAAGCCACCATCTAAGCCAAACTTACCTCCACCCTTACCAACATTCAAAAGAATTTTTCTTTCATTTGCAGCCATACAACATGGCTTTAAAGAAGGTTGCAGACCTTTCATAGCTGTGGATGGGTGTCATTTGAAGGGACCATTTGGGGGCATATTGTTAGCTGTAGTTGGTCTTGATGGAAATAATGGTCTTTATCCTATTGCAATTGGTGTGGTGGAGAGTGAATGTAAGGATAGTTGGGCCTTTTTCCTTTACCACTTGAACACCATTTTTGGTAATGGCCTCCAAAACATGCCATGTCTGATGGTCAAAAGGGCATTGAGCCAGCCATGAGACAAGTAATACCCCAAGCAACACATAGGAGGTGCTGTAGACAAATTTTCAGCAACTTGAAGGGCAAATTCCCTGGTTTAAAGATGAAAAGAGCCTTTTGGGCTGCAGCTAAAGCTTACACTATTAAGGATTTTAACATTGCAATAGGACAGATGTTGGAGTTATCTTCTGAAGCACATAGCTGGCTTTCTAAATTTCTAGTTGAAATATGGGCAAGACACACATTTGATCATAGGGTGAAGAGTGAACATGTTACTAGCAACATGGTGGAGTCATTTAATAATTGGATTGGTAATGTTAGGGGTAAACCTATCTTGACATTGTTGGAAAATATCAGATTGAAACTGATGAACAAGTTACATAAGAGGTTTGAAGAGGCAGCTTCATGGCAATCTTTGGTAACCCCTAACATTAAGAAGAAATTGGAGGAAGTGGTTCTTCAATCTAGGCTTTGTAAAGTGACTTTTGTAGGACAAGAAGAGTATCAAGTGGCTGAAGGTGTGGTGTCTTATATTGTAAATCTACAAAGAAGGTCATGTTGTTGCGGGATATGGGACATAAGTGGAGTCCCTTGAAAGCATGCAACAGCTTGCATTACTCATAAGAGGATAAACTTGGAGACCTATTGTGACACAATGTACTACAAACACATTTATTTTAAGGCGTATGAGGAAATTATACATCCAATGCATGATGAGAGTTTATGGGGTCTAGTTCTTGGAGATGAGTTGAAGCCTCCACCTCTTAAGAGGATGCCTGGAAGACCTAGAAAAAGTAGGAGAAGAGAAGTTGATAAGGCTGCACCATCAAAAAGACCATGCACTGTGAAGTGCATCATTTGCAAAGGGATTGGGCACAATAAGAGGACATGCCAGAGGGCACCTATTAGGGGTAGGGAAATGGGAACAAATGAGTCTGCTCAGAGAGGAATTGGTACTGTTGTTAAAAGGAGCACTATTGGAAGGTTCACAGCTACTAAGAGGAGCACTGTTGATGTAAGTATGAATGACAAATGATTATGTTATTTTATTTTATTTTTTCACATGGAATTTGAGGCCAACTAATCCAATTCATTTTTTAGGATCAAGGACAAGATGTGGTGCTTCCAACTCAATGGAGCATGACTTGAACCATAGGTATGCATGTAATTGCATCATGCATAACACTTAAAATATATTCATTTGTGTTTATTAATTTGTTGTTCTTTGTTTTTTTATTTTTCAGGTGACGTTTTTGGTCCAGAAATTGCTTTTTGTATAGGGGATGTTGGAAGGAACTAAAGACTAGGGTATAATTTTTTTGTGTAATTAGTGGGTATACTTTTCTAACAATGTCTTCATATTAGTACATATCAGAAGGCATGCATCCTTGCTCACCACAGGTTTTTGAATTGGGTGGGCTACTACTCTTTTATTGACTTGCAAAGTTTTTGTTGGACAAGAATTTGTATCTGAATATGTAATGTAATTAAGTAAATATTTCAATATTATTATAAAGAATGTAGCTTCAATAAAGAAAAATACCATATTAAATATTTAATATTATTAGTATGTATTTTTATTTTGGATCATTTGCATCAAATAAATTCTAAAAAAAAAATTAAAAAAACTAATTTAAAAAAAAAAAGTTTGAACCGGGATCAATCGTGCATACTGGAATAATGAAATGTAATTTGTAAAATAAATTGAAGATTTTTAATATTTTACCAATATATATTCTTTAAAAAAAGTTTAATATTAGTAAAGGAAAACAATTTTATAAGGCAATGAAGATGAATATTATTATTAAACGGAAATAGTTTATAAGGAAATGAAGATCAATCAATAAAAGGAGAATGTTATTATTTAAAGAAAATTATATTACAAGGAATATTAATATTATTATGTATTTTATTTTATTTTTTTTAATAAAAAGTTTGAATTTTTTTTTAAACAACAAACCAAAGGGTTGTGTTCAACGAAAATAAAATAAAAAATAAAAAATAAAAAGTTCTTTGTGCTTTGGTACAGGTTGTCTGGTTGTGTTTAAAAATTAATAAACAAATAAAGGGGGTTGTTTGGCACTTTGAAAGGTCCTAGGGGTAATATGGTCCATCAAGATAAATTTTGGTGATGTCAGCACACTTTTGTAACGGCTTAGTTGATGACAGGGGTCCAATTGTTACGTGAATATAAACCTCAGGGGGCTTGATGTAATTTTTGAAACCTCAGGGGGGTATCTGTAATTTAACTAAACCTCAAGGGGGTATATGTAATTTGCCCTTTATTTTTTCATTTTGAACACCCCAATAATTGCAATCCTATTCCTCCCTACCTCAGCTAACCTCCCACTCAATTCAAACCCTAGCTCCAACAGTTTCTTCCCATCTCTAGCATCTTTCCAGCCAACCCTCCAGTCACCGTCGTGAACCCCGTCTTTCACTCTCTACTCTAGTTAGCCTTTCTATTCTTTTGTAACTTCATTGGCCCTTTTCTTTGCTACCCTCTACAACCTATTGCCGCTACCGCCTCTAGATGCCCACTACACCCTTTTGGCCATTAGCAGTCCATTCACCCCTTCGCTCTTTTTTTTTCTTTTCTTCGTCATCCTTCTTCTTTCCCATTCTCTAGAAACCCTAGATCTGAATCTAAATCTTAGGTTTTTGAAGGAGGAAGAAGAAGGAAGAGAAGAGAGATGACAAGAGGAAGAAGGAAGATAAGAGACATGACAAGAAGAAGAATGAGGGAGAGACGAAGAATGCGATGGTGAGAAGAAAAAGGAGGAGGAGGAAAAGGAAGAGGAGGGGAGGAGAGGAGAGGTGCGATGGTGGTGGTGAGTAAAAGAAGAAGAACAATAAAAATATCATTTTCTCATCTATAGGTATGAATATGTTCTCATTTATAGTTACAAATGTTTATTTCATATTATGTATTCTGTTCTTTCTATATATCTAAACTTTTTATTTTTATTTTTTTACGTTGTACATAATGGTCTCATTTGAATGCTATTTTGTCATTAGATGCTCCCTAGGGTCAACTTTCTATCTTCCTCAATTTCTTCCAGGGTTAGTTCATATGTCTCTGTATCGTATCATAATCATGGTTTTAAATCGCGGTATCGGTCGGTACGTATCGGGAATCGGGTGTCACAGTGGTAAAATTTTAAAAATCATTTCACAGGTTTTTTTATCTTTTTCTTCCCTGTATCGGTCTAAATCGGAGAGTATCGGCCCATTGCGGCTTGTGTAACGGTTACAGATTGCTACATATTGGGACTCAGCCGATTCTCCTGCGATTTTTGATCTCAGTGCTATATCAGCCTGTATTTGTTGCGGTGCTCCATTTTTTTGATACGAACCAGCCGGTATGTAGCGTATCGATGATTTTTAGAACTATGATTGTAATCTATAAAATGAAACAAAAATAATTGAATTCACATCACATTTTTTTTTAAAGGTGATGATGAAGTTTTGAACTTGATGGACTACTTGTGCATAGTTTTTCTTTTTTCTTTTTTTTTTGTTTATAAATCTTATTTAGCACCAATATGTTTCACATTGAAAACTAATTGCTTTTTTGCTGAATGATTTTTATTTATTTATAATTTTACTCCCATTATGTATTAATTTTTTTGTAATTTTTAAAGTATTGTCACTTTAATACAATGGCTCTTTATTGATGCAAGGTTACTAGCATATATATAGATATATAGTTGTGGAGTTGCCAATTAGTATTATATGGTGTGAAATATTACAACAAAAGTGCAACAAGCTTCCATCTATTCTTTTTTCATATGTCTCTTTTTTTTTTTAATTTAATTTAATTTTTTTTTTTGTTTTTGTGTACAATATTACAAAAAAAGTGCAACAAGCTTCCATCTTTTTTTTTTTTAAACTTATTTTTTTTAATGCTTGATAATAGCTTTATCTAGGTTAATAAGATGAACCAAACTATTTGAACTCAATTCGTTTTTTGTTCTTTAAAAATTTGTTTGAGATCAATTCATTTTGTAAAAAATTAACATTACAAATTTTAAAACTAACTAAATTTTCAAGTCAATTTTGAATAAATTATTATTCGACTCGATAAACTTATATATATATATATATATATATTTGTAACATGCCCAGGGAGTACCCGCGCGTGTTAAACAGTTCGTACCCTCGATTTCTTTGATTTAGTCTCACTAGTGCAATGTGAAACACAGATGAGAGTCCAGATTTGGTAACTTTTATTGAAAATCCATTTTATTGCAAAACTTTTTGTTAGAAATGGACAGCGTCATCAGATCTCAGACTCGCCACCTAATATTTTGAAAAATTAGGAAACCTATGACTCGTGACAAGGCCATTGTTCGTCGTAACCAAGGATGCTAGGCTCGGAACCTTAGGTATGAAGAGATAAGGTCATTAATTGAGCACCCCCTCTCACCCGATCAAAAGATCGGCCTTTACTAAACTATGATATGAATTTTATTTTTTTATATGTTCATGTTTTGATTATTTAGTAAATCCTAAAATTTACTATGTGAAGCATAGAAGTATAGACTAGTTTGCTCAAATTGGAACAATTCAATTTCATGTTTGTTTTTTGAAAATGGTTTGAATTTGCCACTTGACAAAGTGGGCTTAAAGTTTGTAAATTTGCCACTACAAAGTGGGTTTAAACGTACATTCATTAAATCATTCCAATTCAAGCAACGAGCCTTCATCCACAGGCATTCAAGAAATTATAGCATTTAAGCAATTAGTCACATGGTAAGATGCTAAACATAATAGAAAATTATATACAGACGGGATGCTAAACAATAAAAACTCACATATTTACCGATGTCCTAAGAACAGCTACAAAACAAAGTTAGTAAATCATGCATGATCTTATATACAAAATCTTAATGCAATTCATTCATGAGATGCAACTAAAGATTCGGCTTCTAAAATATGGCATGTGAATCATCTCAAGAATATGAGGTAGCGCATAGAATCACATAAGAATTGATGAAATCTACAAATGTAAATTTAGCTGAATCTTAATGTATAAAACATGAATGTATAGCATGGATAGGCATGTCATGTCAAATATATGCACATGTACCGTTAGAAAAAGGGATTAAAGAATGGGATAGAAAGAAGTGGGGTGGGGAATTATTACAGCACTTTAAATAGTACAGACCCGAGAGAGATAAATAAAATAAAATCCTCACAAACACTCAAAATAAAAATAAAATAAATATACTTTGGGGAAACAGACTGCCCACAATTAATAACCCAACTCAGTAGTCCACTGGCGCATTCTACTCATTTTCTCCAATGAAATTTGAGCCCAACAAGTAAGTCCAAAATTATGAAACCTAATGTTGTAAACCTTCGGCTATTACCATTTATCTTCAACCCAGCAGGCCTACACACCAGCAAATTACCATGGGCCCAATAACCCACTTGCAACTAATCAGCACATATTATGATATATATAAATCTAGCCCATGTACTCATGTTGAGCATCTTCAATGGAGGGCCCCACCTTAGGTGGTTGCATTTCAAGAGAAAGAGCACCACTGTAGTACTATAATACTGTTAAGTTACATGAATTTATCCTCTCAGCTTGTTTTACAGCTCTATGGTCCATCCATACTATCAAATTTCTCCCTGAATCACCACTCTAAGAAACTGAAATAGGGGAGCCTTCAGAATCCACAGGAACGGCAAATCCCAAACCCATTACTTCTTCCCTAGCAACATTTGCAAGGGAACATAATGATTTCACGGCCGCACAGATTGCATGCCAAATATCAATTGAAGATTGCTCAACACAGTCACCCTCTTTCCAAATATATGTTAGGCTGCTAGCAGAACCTAGAAATTTTCCTTTCTCATCAAACAGACCTATGCGGGCACTGCCGGTGCCAACATCAACGCTGAGGAAGACGGAGGAGCGGTGGTGGTGGCTCGGTGCAGAGACTGTTATCTTTTTTTTTTAGCTCTTCATCCGGATATACATATATATACAAGTTATATGGAATTGAGAGAGAGAGAGAGAAAGAGCTCATGCGTGCGTGTATCTGTGTGTGATAGGAGAGAGAAAAAGGCGTCGAGAGGGAGAAGAGGCAGCTCTGAACAGCCACCCCTCCCCCCTTTTTGTGTGCGTGTGCTGTGTTGCTCTCCCAACCGAGAGTGAGAGAGAGTGAGAGAGAAAATGAGAGCCCTTCATTTCAGCCTATGTGTGTGTATCTGTTTCTGAGAGAGAGTGTATCCGTGCGTGTGTGTGTGTGTGTGTGTTGTAGCTCCGTGTATGTGTGTGTTAGAGATAGATAGAACCAGAGAGAGGGAGAGATACCTCGTGTGTATGTGTGTTGTGTGTATCAGTGTGTGTGTGTGTGTGTATCATGTGTTGCAGATGATCAACCAACAAAAACTAACAAGAAAAATGCCCAATGCTCAAAAACCAACTGAGAGAGAGAGCCTAGAGAGAGAGAGAGAGAGAGGTGCGTCCTCTTTGTTCTATGTGTCTGTCCTTAGTATATCAGTGTGTGTGTTTTTTTATCCTCCCCACCAGGCGTAAGGATCCTCTAGAGTAATGTTTCTACAGTGATCTTCTACAGTGCAAGACAAGCAGTCGACACGTGTCCCACTCATCAGACCAAGGGCTGAGATTCAGCTCACCAAAACGACGTTGTTTTGGTGAGTAATTTGAAAAAAGAAAACAAAACAAAAACAGAGTGAGAAAGAGACAAGAAGAGAGAGAGAAGAAGGATCCCCAATCTCTGCCATGGCTATTTTGATTTATATATGTTTATATATATCATCTCTATGTTTTATATATTTGTTTGTTTTGATTTATATATATATATATATATCTAGAAGGAAAAGAAAAGAAGAGGAAAAGGGAGGAAGGAGAGATGCGGCAGGGGAGCCGTGTGGCAACGGCGGTAGCGCGGGTGGGAAGGGGCGGGGCGGGGCGGCGATGTCCTCCTTCTCTTCTCTCCTTCTCTCAGTGGGTTTGTGTAGTTGTTTAAGGAGTTTTACCAGATTGGAGCTTCAAATACTCAATCAAACCCATTCCATTGATAGCAACACTGTGTTTGTGTTTTTGAATGCTGTTGAATAAACCAGAATCATCAATAAACAAACTCAACAGGTCTCTCTCCCTTTCTCATCAAATTACACACTTTATTGAAAATTATGTTAGGTGGATGTTTTGAATTAAAGCTTCTAATGCGGCTCTGTTTATGAAGCAACAAAACCCTTTTTGAATTGAAAGAGAGTCGCAGACAGGTCTCTCTCTCTCTCTAATATTTTGAATTGAAACAGAGCTTCTAATCCTTCATATTTGCAGGAACTTGGATGTTTTGAATTAAAGCTGTTTCTTCTTTTCTTGTTCTTCATCTTCTTCTTCTTTTTTTCTTTTTTGAAATTACTCACCAAAATGACGTCGTTTTGGTGAGATTTAATTTCCATCGTAGGATGAATCACTCTAGAGATCACTTGAGGGTTTTCACTCTAGAGGATCCAGACACCCCCACCAGAGCTCTCTGCTACAGAGAAAGAGAGCTAGTGCATGTTTTGTTTTGTTTTTTTTTTTATAGAAAAGTTAAGGATCATGAAAATAATTATGAAAGATTTACGATCCTTGGATTACCTTGATTAGTGTGTGGTGCTTTATTCTAAGTGTAATTCAAAGGTCACAAAACTTTCATGCTTATTTTCATGAAAGGTTTTTCATGATATCTAACATTGCTATTTTTTTTTATTATTTTCCCCCGTGTGAACACCACCTGAAAAAACACACACATGCCCTCCATTTACCACTTTTTCTCTCTTCAACCCAAAACCTCCCAAAACCTC